CACGAAAATGGCGGACAAGTCTTTAAAGCCGTGCCTAATCCTAATAAGCAATTTTCATCACTTTTACAATTACATTTGTGTTAATTTTCTTAGCTTTATGTCTACATTAATAGATCAAACTGTGAGTGCGGTGGAAAAATTTATAGAATTTGTAACGGAGACACCAGAGTTTTATTAAAAAATTTCAAACTTATCACGAGACATGGTATCTCGCAAAGAGAAAATAAATTACTATAGTGTATTAACGCGTCGTTTACGATGTAAACAACTAAGAGACTATAATTCCCTACGTCTTACAAGGAAACCTCGGCCAATAATGTTTTCATATCTGCTTGTAACTATAGGATTGTTTTTCATTTACTACAACGTAACAAGTGATGTGGAAGATGTAAGATCAGACGACATAATGGGTCCATTGGAACCTATAGAACAGAATACAACAACAGCGAAACATTTTACAGAAGAGGTAAATAAAACCAACGATTTCAAAACGCATCTTAGTCTCATAGGTTTTGATAATATGACATTTATTTTAAATCTAACGCAGTATTTAATTTCGATCCTCGAAACAATATCTAAACAGAATCTTACTAAACCAATTTCAATACAAAGCTTGGAAAATGCTAATTTCACAAAGATTTCAGAAGAGGTCGCTAACAGACTAACTAAAAAAATAAAGAAAGTAAAGAAATGGCGAAGGAAATCCACGATGGCTTTAAACTACGTAAATATCACAGAGCTTGCAAACTCTCACAGAATTCGGAAAGCAAAGCATTATAACATCAATATTGCATCTGCGTATAATACCGAACAAGGGAATATACATAAGATAAGATTCAATAGAACTTTAGAGAACAATTCGTCATCAAAACGCGTTTAAACTTGTTTTGACAGATTAAAAAGTGAAATGTTTGTATGTATTTTTATGATACTCTTTTGACGTATACATTATACAGATACATTATTTGCTATGGTAATAATAATACATTCTATTTAAGTATCACTTTTGTTTTCTTTAACATACTTTAAAAATAGAACTAGGTTGTTGCTATTATTTGTTACCAAGGCAGTACCGAGACTCTTTTCACCAATAGTTTTATAAGAAATAAATAAACTTAAATCGATAATACCATGCCCGTAGGGAATTACAAATATTATGTTACAAAACTGAAATACGACATAACGAGGTGATGATGCAAGCCGAGACGGATTTGTCATGTAATGTGTCTAATTGCGGTCGACGAAGTCAGGCCTCTAGATTCTAGAGACTCGTCCATTTTATCCAGAGTCTAGAAGATGACGTGATAAAATGGACAAGTTAAAACCGATGATAAACTTCACGGGACTGTGAGTTACAGAAATGCTTAGAGGAATCAAAATATAAAAGTAGGTATATGAACATAAAAGCATATAATCAAAGATTACATATCGCACTCGACAACTAGCATAGTATCATCTCAAAAATTGCGAAATTAATAATTTATCTCCAAAATTTCGCTCTATTGATGTGTCATTCTTATACGATTTAATTTCAAAGTGGCAGGACAACACTGCCAGTTTGACACTAAACGTAATATTAATATAAATTAAAGCCATTTTGAGATAACACTATGTTAGTTGTCATGTGCGACATGTATTAGCCCTGTGTAACCCGCTTACGATTACGATGGGGTCGGCCTCGGTGCGTGGTCGGGTTTAGATTACGGGGTGTGCTTATGTTGCGGGATACGCTATACCTGGACGTCGACCAGCCGGCATTAACAAATGGCATGTGCATAACTGTTTTATAAACAAAAAACCGACCTCAAAAGTTCGTGGAATTACAATTTGCCAAGTTTAATTGAAATCGGTTATCGGAAAGTGTGCGAGGCCATAATTCATCTCCTAGTTTGCTACCCTTAGAGGTGGAATATTTTCCTCAAATTTAAACGGTACCAATACTGAGTTACCCTCTTTCCAACAAAAAAAGAATCATCAAAATCGGTTAACAAGTGCCGGAGTTATCGCGTAACATATATGCATAAAAGAAAATTAAAAAATACAGTCGAATTGAGAACTTCCTCCTTTTTAGAAGTCGGTTAATAAATAGAGGAATAAGAATAGATACTTAATCATTATTAATATTATTGAGGTAGTTAATATACAAAAAAGTCATATGCACAGTTGCTCCTTTTCCCATTGTGGTCTCTGATATTTTATGAAAAGCGTACTGCAATACGTAGCAAATATCTACTCAGTGGGTATACTGAAAAAACAATGGTACTCATAGTACAAAAAGTAATGTAGTTTGAGACCGAAAAATTGGTGTATAGCTGATGTGTAATATATAGAATATTCGGGTGAAGTCCTTTCATAGAAATGATAATTTACAAGTTACGATATCAGTGAGGCATCGAGTATATAACCAGATATAAAGACGAAATAAGGGCTATCCATCCCTGGCAACTCATCAGTCAAATGTTACTGATATCACTTTTGAATATCAACTCTCATTTACGTTGAAATCACAAATTAGAAACCTGAAATAGTACAGCGCCAACAACTGACCTGTGTACGTCTCCATATATTCCAAAAATATTAATCTATTAGTAATATTAGTATTTATTGTAATAAAAGTAATATCTTTAACTGTAGGGGGCTGTTCCATTCGGTGGTGTAGGAAAAACAGCAAAACATCTAATTACAAAAGAAACGGAATCACATTTCATCGGTAATTAAATATTTATTAAATTTTTCAATTTTCGTCAATTATAAAGCAAAGCTCAAGTTAAACTGGTTGAAGTTGAACAATTGACGACACCCGTCAATTGTTTCGAATTCGGGCTGGCCAATCGGAGCCCAGTTGTCACAGTAATGACATGGCAGAGTAGTTTTCAAACAAAGTAAATGACAGTTTGTCTCTATTTCTGGTTGTATACTCGATGCAGTGAGGGCTCGAATTTCGAAATTTATTGGACTTCTGTAATGTGTGCCTTCGTCCCCGCTGCACGATAAAATTACATCACTAAAGCCAGGATCATGCACAGGGAAAAAGAACCCCCACAGCAAAGAATCCTTAAAGAAAAAAAAATCAAAAGAATATTATAAAGTATATTCAGAATAGAGCACTCAATTAAAGCTACACGCTTATGTCACAGATCAGCGATCTCTATTAATTTTTAATCCTATTCAAATAAAATCTCACATAGGGCTTAAAACTGGGTCGAAAACTTGTCCCTAACAACCAGATAAAACACTTCCACTAGCGGTCACCACAAGATTCAATGATATGGGCTAAAATTCATTTACATTCGTAGCTAGCTAATAAAGGCAATTTATTTATAATTCGATCACTTCTATGCTGATTAGTCAATACATCATTAGGAGGTCATAAAACCGAATGTCGACGGCCCTGTGCGCATCATACGTATATCGTGTGGGTGGTGAGTAGGCGGCATGGTGACACCCCGTTTTATCTGGCCAACGCCCTTAGTTATTGTGAAAGGTTTGTGCAACATTCCCGACCATGCGCAATCATAAAACAATCTTGTTTTTTTATGATATCAAGTGACGGGACGAACTAGTCGTGCGCCTGGTGTTAAGCCTGTCCATAGCAGTTGCTGTGCCGTTCAGAGCTTTGGATCGTAAAGGCCACTGCGCCTGTCACCCTGAGACATAAGTTGACAAGTCCCATGTGCCTGTAATTGTACCAGCACACTTACCTTTCAAAACCGGAACGCAGTTAATGATCACATTACTGCTTAGCGGTAGAAATAAGTAAGGTGGCAGTACTTTCCTGGATGAACTCTTTCACAAGGAGTTCTACTGCTACTTTAGTAGTAGCTCCTTGTATTTTAAAAGGATATAATAGTAAAGTCTTCCAATCGCTCACTTTTAATTGAGCAACTAATTAACGGATTAATAAACTATCGCCCATTTTACAGGTGTCACAAAAAGAATGGCCATAACTTGGCAGATAATGGTACTGTAAAAGAACTTTAGGGGAATAAAATATATTCGAGGATAAGGGTCTAAGGGGATTAATTAAAACTCCTAAGACCCAGCAAACTACAATGGAAAAAGCGCTAAACGCCCAATGTATATTAAAATGTACCGCTTCTTGCCCGTGGATCACACGACTAGTTCACAGCGGTCAACTACGCGGAATTTACTAAATTTAATTACATATTTCAGACCCAAGAGTGCCCACTCTTGGGTCTGAAATATGTAATTAATGTGAAATATGTAAAGTCTTTCATTGGGACTCTATGAGACGACTCAACTTTTGAAATGCGTTATGTGCTTGTTCTATCTCACATTGATCGTTCATAAATTATAAATAATAAACAGAAACTATCTTTAAGAGTTGGCGTAGTGGTATTAACTACTATTGTAGCCAACATAGCGTTTCTGAAAATATTGCGCGACTTGACAATCAGTGAAGTACTATTTTTAGAGAGCAAACTAACAGACGAGTCGCTTAATGCTAGGTGATCATCGTCGCCCATAGTTGTCGGCCTTTCAGAGATCTGTCTACTTTTTCAAGAACCCCATGACATAATAATAATAAAATGTTATTATTCAGACAACTAGACGCACAGTTTGTTGGTATTCCACTTATGACTACGTTAATGTACATATTTTTCAATGGGCAATGTATTTTTAATTAAGTGTTGAATTATTGAGCACTTCTTAAGGCTACCGTCAATCAGGAGACTGTTAGTGCTACCACGTATTCTGGTCAAAAGCTATGCCTTCTTTTTCCACAACACAGCATTAAAGTTACCGACACACGCTTAGGCAAACACGGTAAATGCTCTGCAAAACAGTGACAGCCCCCCCTTGGGCGTAGTCGTACTGGATACGCAGCGATCCAAGCGAACGCTGCGCACAGCGCACTGGAGTACAGCGGCAGATAAAGTCATAGATAGATAAAGAAAACACTTCCGGAAAGATCCCATTCCACACATTTTTAAGAACAATGTATATATATTTGTAAAGAATATAAATAAAAAACAAACCTTCTAGATCTGACTCTGGTGTAACGCCAAGTGTCACTGCTGTAATGCCCTGAACTCGACGGGCAGAGTAACACATGTAGACTATTCGGCCTCGCCTCTCGACCTTTCTTTGTCCTCAGTTTCACTATGACGTCATCGTTCTTTTTCAACGGTGGTTTTTTAAGCTTCTCTTCTACGTTCAAATGTTCCAAATCTTTCGAATTTTGCCGTAGCAAGTCCGGAGTCGTGTTATGGTCGTATCTTTTGTCGGGTCGTCGCGGTTCGAAGACGACTTTTGAGTATTCTTGACTTCTACGCCATAATCGAGGTGACAGGGGCCAAAAGCGATTTGTGTACTGTGTAGGTTCCATTACCATTTTTTTCTGTCTGCACTGTTGATTATTTATATATTAAAATTCATTCCAACTTTGAAATAGACAAAGTGATTTATGGTCTTTAGGCTAGCACCAACACGTAAAGTTAAAACAGGCTATCTTCACGTGTTCCTTAAAAAGTAAAAAGCTCTAGTGGTTGTTTTGTAGCATTAATTAACAAATTAAGGCATTTGCTTTTGCCTGCGTGTTTTACAAAATTAAATGTAGTGATAGTAGTATGAGACCTGCGAAGTCAACAAGATTTTATATTTATTTATTTCAATAACATATCTTTTTATCATGATTTTTTCTTTTTTGTTAAAAAATTAATGCTTCCATCTCACCTGATGAAAAGTGACGGTGAAGACGATGATGGAGCATGTACACTAACTAATCCCTATTCATTCTCGCCTTGAAAGCGCCCAGGTTATACCGTTCAGGGAACAAGCAGGCAGGGAATTCTACTCCATAGCCGTTCGCCATATAAACAGAAATGGTCGTTATTACGCCTTTTAAGTTATAAAAATAAAAAAAAATGTTTTGCGCTATTTTCTTAACTCCAATTTTCGGAGCTATTCGCGATTTAGTGAAGTTGACTATTCTATCAATTGTTTTTTAGAATTATAAAAAAAGACCGACCTCAAAAATTCGAGGAATCACATCTATTTGCAAAATTTTATAGAAATTGGTTACCGGAAAGTGCGCGAAATTCATCCCCAAGTTTGTCACCCTTACAAATGGAATATTTTCTTTAAATTTAAATGGGACCAACAAAAAAGGATCATCAAATTTGGTTCATAAATGCTGAAATAATCGCGTAACATACATACAAAAAAACAAGGCGAATTGAGAACCTCCTTTTTGTCGTTTCAAGTCGGTTAAATGCGCATTTGACTTCCAACTCATCTGATGGAAAATGACGAGTATCTCACATGGCTCCGCATCTTATGTACATATAAAATGAATATTCGAAGTGACATTTGACCGGAACAGAAATTTTTCGTTCAATTCGTGTATTTCTGTGGAACTCGAATTACTCCATACGTAAGATTTTTTTTTAAGAGTGACTGTTATAAATTATATTATAAGGTATTTCACTATAAATCAAAACAAAACCACGTCTAGTCAAAGATGTTTGTCGTTAGCGTTCCGTTGATTTGATGATGACGATATAGATTTATTTATTATTTCGATAAAACTAACAAAATAAAATAAATTAATGTCACGGTTCGCTAACACAAAGCTTTGATAAAAAAATAATACCCAAGTTATCTATGGTTTTAGGCTAGTCGTGTACCCTCCTTAGCATAGTGAGCGCTGCTAAACCAAGATATAATAAACCTTAAAGGCAACCACATTCCTTCGCAATAATTATAGGCGTTTGTCATCGCACGGCTGGGGACAGTGACAGGAACTGGCACACAATGACCGGAAGACGTGCGCCTGCGCCGGTAGGTAATAAGGTACCGTATTACCGCTGAGCATCGTACACGTGATCTATAGACTAATTTTTTATTTATTGTACAAATTATAGTCTTATTTCTTTGTTCGGTGATAAATGTATGGAATTTAAATATGTAAGTATTATAATTATTGTACACCTTGTATGGGATTGACTGTTTTGCCAGCAAAGTCGTAGTCTCTGTCTACATTTTTTCCAAAGATGACCTCGGGGGCCCGAAGTGTATCACAGTTACAGATTTAAACGAAAAGCACTTAGTAAAGTAAAAATTTGCTTATTCAAATAAGCACATATGCACGCTTTTCAACTTAAGTGTAAGCGTTAACAACATGCCTATGTATCTGTTTCCTACAAAAATTAATTCGTCAATCTGAATAATAATTTTATAAATAAATACAAAACTCGTGTTTTACAAGTAAGCTTACTTATCTTAAAGCCTTTAGTGGTGTACTCTTGCTTTTCGCTATCAACACAACGTTGCAAGCTTTTTGTAACATACAAGTTTAAAAGCACTTAAACGTTTTCCTAAACTATTTTGTAAGCTTCAAACTAAAAAGAAAAGCCTATAGAAAAGCACGCTTTTTTTTAAAAAAAGCACAACGTTGTAACGTTTAAAAAAATAAGCAGTATTTCCAATTTTTTATATAGATTCAAGTGCCGGGACAAATAAGTGGTGCGTCTGGTGGTAAGCTGCACGTCTGTCCACTACTGTTGCAACGTCGCTCAGAGCTTTCAATCGCAAAAATTTGAAGGGTACTGCCACTGCGCCCGTCACCCTGAGACATAAGTTGACAAATCCCATGTGCCTGTAAATTCACCAGCACCTTTCAAAAACCGGAACGGAGAATGCTAACATTACTGCTTGGCGGCAGTACTTCCCTGGACACATTCGCACATCTCTGGTGGAAAGGCAGCCTTAATGATCTTGGTCCATCGTACGAGTCATGGGCACGCTAATGCTTATCCTGAATTCTATTTTTGAATTATTTATTTAATTATAAGGTCGTTTACTTTTTTAAACTGTAAGTACTCCTTAAAAAACCGAGTAGCGACTCTTTTCTTACTAATTCAACAAGTTATTTACGCATAGAGATTATGAAGTTTAGAAGCAAGTGCCAATGCGTTAAAGTATTTAAACTAGTTGTCTGCACTATACAGATGGCACGTGTTACCGAGACGGCTCATTTTTTTGTCCTATTGTACTCGAAAGATAAAGAGGTAAAACGAATGGGTGCAAATAATATTTCGTCAACTGTAACGAATTTTTCTAAATGATCTGTTTTTGGTGTTCTGGATAGTGCTTCCGAAGTTAATTTATACGACTGATGATATAGGGAGTTCCTTTACTTGAAACCAGCTAATTGGTGTTATTGTCTAGGGTATAAAAATCAATCTTCGTCATGTCAATTGAAATTTACTTTTGTGTCTACTTTAATATGCATTCCCTAAGATTTAAATTTTTTTAAATCAGAACGCCAACAAAAAACGTTAACGAACTAATTTAGAATTGCCCGACAACCGAAAAAAAGACCAAAATAAACGTAGTATACGCAAAAAAGATGTAAGTTACGTATAGTACAGTTTTATTTCAAAACTAAAGAAGTGATGTGATATTCTAAACCGGTTTATTTAATTTTTTTATACTTTGGACGCACGCCAAGACGGCTATGACTCCGTGAGTCAAACTGTTCTAAGAAGGAACACTTTTTGTTTTGTTAAAAGAGTCCTAACTTTTTTGAATTGCGAATTTAAACTATAAAAAGGTTTTTATACGCAGTCCGAGTTTAATTCCCTGAAATCTTGTGAGAAATCCTTGGAAAAATTTAATGGTTTCTTTAGCTGTAAATCAAAAGTTGTAGTATCGTTTAATCCACAATAGTTCTAATATAAATAATTCAAACATCTTATCGTGTATTAAGAGGACAGTTGGTATTATGGAACGTAAAGGAAGGCGTTTGCTCAAATCTGAGCAAATAGGGATTTCTAACGCCTGCATACTCTTGGAATTCAAGACCTGGAAAACAGGCGTAATGTTGTGTGTACTGTCAACAAAGTTAAAGACTTCCCAGTAACAAAACACCTTTGTTTACAAGCGTAACTTATTTTATTGGC